AATTCTAGGAGGTAGTTGGCTTTTTTCCATTCACATAAATTATTACTTTAGCAAGAATTTATCTAAGGATCTATTGTGCACTAGTCAGTGTCTCTACACTAGTAGAGAATGAGAATCTTGTTAGTAATGATTGTATTTTTTTTAAGTGAATGAAAATACAACAGTAACGAAAAGGTGAAAGCATTGAGAACAATGATTGTATCTCAAACGTGCTGTAAACAAAATCTTTGGGAGTTAGAAGATGATACAGTAGATTTGTCATTCATTTCTATTTTAATTTGAAGGTAAGGCATTTTACCTGTATATCTAGTATTTACCAATATCTATATCTGTATGGAACTACCTACCCATTTGTTTGGAGCAAAAGATCAATTGTGATTCTTTGAATTATTCAGAGCTTTCACTATGTTACGAGTGGTCATTTTTCTCAATTTTAACTTGCACTTCTTTGGACAAGCATGCACCTAAATATATATATATATATATATATATATATATATATATATATATATATAGCAGATATGATTCCAATGAAAGTAAACACTTTAAAAACTTTGATGGTAGAATTAGTAAATGCCAATGCCCAAGAGTTCTTTTTAACATTTTTCTTCTCTTAAATATTCCATTGCTCACATAAAGTATCATCTTTGCTGCTCCTAAGGGTGAACCAACATAGCTCTATTAGAGATTTTCAAGCTGTGGTATCATGAAGAAATCCCATTTGCAGATGTTCACATAGATCAATACTCAGAGATTAAGGCAACTCCAAGCAACGTTAAGAGGTAACAAATCTGTTCCCTTTGTGCAGGTTTATAATAATTATTGATCAGGTTCATTATCCTCCAAAGCTCTCAAGTTAGTGGAGAACACATAGTTAAAGCTTTTAGAAGTGGGGCCTGGTCAGATTTTCCTTTTAGTGTATTTAATGCTGATACATGAAACAAATGTGAAAGTGATATGTATGAGCACATTCTTTGCTGATTTTTTTTTTGGTGTTTGCATTTCTTGATAATTGATTTAGAAGAGGTTTCAATATGCTAAAAAATCTTTAGCAAGCTGGTATCATTATTAAATTAATGTCTTTGAAATATCCATCGGGCAACCAAAGGCAGATCTAGCTAGCATCAGGGAAACTGGCACAAAACATGTTGAAGTAATAAAAAGGAGAAATGCCAGATAATAGTGAAAGCTAGCAGAAGAGAGATGAAGCGAAGGAGGTGAAGCCAGCAGATTTGTGAAGGTAAAATCAGCAAGAATTGGTAGTTCTACTGGGTACACAGAGAAAAGGAAACTCATTGTCGGAGACTCTAAAAGAAGCAACCATGTGATACAAATAAATAATATAAAAAATCCTCATTATATCACTGGTGAGCTTGGTGAGAAAGAAAACTGGGAAGGCTGATCCTAAAATCATGTTTCTGAAGAGTTCAGATTTTGAAAGTCAGGCATAAAAAGAACACATAATCAAGAACTTATAGAAATGCAACCACCAGCTCTTGCTATAAAGAGAGGAAAGCTAATGTCAGAGTGGCTTTGCCCATTAGAACGCCACGGATAATGATGATGGCAATGAGTCAGCTAATATTGATGCTGTGCTGCAGGTGACAGACACTGTTCTAAGTATGTGAAATGTAGAATCTCTGTCCTTGAAGAAGACTATCAGGTAGTGCTGTGAGTATCCCCATTTTAAAAGGAAAGATTATTTGCCACAGGACTAACAACCAGGGGAACTTTGTGGGAAGGCTCAGAATAAGCAGTGCTATCAAGAACTGTGTGAGCCTACAGTTTGAGTTCAATGTTAATAGAAGACAGAAGGTAAAACCGCTCCTCTGCTGCTTTTCCACCAACTTTCTCTGCTTGCAAGATCAATCTTTCAAGGGAAGCCCGGGGTGTACACCTGGAGCTGTGGCAAGTGGAGTCCCGGATCGCTGAACAGATAAGAGAGCGCCAGCTCCCTGACAGATTGAGTCCTCAGGTACCCCTGCATTTCATCCCAAGGTGTGCAGAACATAAATGTGTGATGGCAAAACCAATTTCAGCTATCCTTGGAGAATCACAAAGAAAGTGAGAGTACAAAGTCACAAGTGCCAGAAACTTCAGATGCACTCACTGGATGACATGGCAGTTCCTCGCACGAGTGGGGGAGCCGATTGTGAAGTGATTAGGCAATGGATTTATAAGCCCTTTAGAAGAAGGAGTAATAGTTTCGAGGAGTCAGCGGGGTTCACTGCCAACAAGTCAGACCTCATTTGCTCTCTGATGCTTTTACAAGACTGGCAGCTCACGGGATGTCACGGATATTGTATATCTGGGTCTCATCAAAGCTTGTGACAGAACCTTTTTAAAAATGTTCATGGAAACAACAGGATGACATGAGCTGACTGAGTAAAATTGAATGCAATGTAAAGTAGCAAATAACTGTAAAAAAAGAAAGTGGTGATTAATGTGCCGATATGAACCTGAAAGGAAGTTATGAACAGCAAGCCAAAAGGCTCTGATAAGATTAAGTCCAGTCAAATGCTTTTATCGTTCACTTACTTGAAGCCATAGAAAACATGCTTCTCAAATTAGTGAACCATCTAACAATGGGGGGTAGGGCGCATCTACCCCAGCAGGCGACTGCATTGAGATTCAAATAATCCAGACGTGCCCATGGGAGACTAAAAAGAAAACATCACCAAGTTCTTCCAAAGAAATCCTTCAAAACCAGGTAGATACCCAACAATTCAAAGTTGGTAAGGACTCGTGCTTTTACCATGATGAAGTGAGGCTGGCCTTCTTCCTCTAGAGATTACTCCAAGCAAGATGGAAACAGATAAATCTCACCTTTGATGAAATAAACAAAAAAGAAGAAGGAAGGAAGGAAGGTAGGAATGGTGGGAAGGAGAAAGGAGAAAGAATAAGAGGATAGTCTGTCATTAAAAGCACTGGGTATCGAACATGGAAGACATGGAAGGTGGACACCTGTGATCTCAGATTCCAGAAAATGTCCAGAGTCCAATTTTTGAAAGTCAGTGGCAACCCGAAGGGCCAGATCTAACCTCACATTCACAAGATGGGAATTAAGTGTTTCCCCAGAGTGTGTCCGGCTCTGAATAAAGGAGGCTGAGAGAGTGTGTCTGGCTCTGAGGAAAGGAGGTTGAGAAATGGATCACAGAAAACACATTTTGGTGAGTTAGAGCCAATGAATAAATAGCAAACACATGAAAACCATCCCGCAATTCTGTTTTAGGCAAAGTTCAATATTTTTGGTAATGCACTGTGTTAGCAAGGGTGTCCTCAAATAGTTGCTTTTGTTCCTTACTGGGGGGAGTAAAAATGAGAACATTTAAGAAAGGCAATTCAGTCATTTATCAAAATTGGAATGTACATACTCTTTGATTCAGCAATTCCACTTTTAGACATTTATTCTACTAATATATTTGCATGTTGGCAAGATGATGTGAAAACTGTAATATGTAAGTATTATTATATAAATAACCATTATATAAATATCCATTAGTCCATATTGATATAAATAAATGACTAAATAAATAAGGGAGAATAGACAAATCTTCCATGTAGAATAATTACAAATAAGTTTTGTAGATTCTTTATCCCAGAGGACATTACTCCCCCCTTTACAGTGGAGAGACCTAACACACTCTGAACCAGGTGACCAAGGTCAACATGGACAGTATTAAGTCTTATTGATAAGTACCCCTGATACAGTCTGATGCAAATTGCACTTTATCTCTGGGGTAGTCCTCCTAAAAACCCGTAACCTCAGTCTAATCAGAAGAAGAAGATCAGTGAAATTTCATGCAGAGGCTTTCTCCAGAATACCTAACCAGCCCTCATAATTGTCAAATGCAAGGATAGTCTTAGAAACCAACAAGGCCAAGCGGAGCCTAAGAAGACATGGCAAGAAAATGTGATTTGAGATCCTCGATGGGATCCCCGAATGGAAAAAGGCATTAAGTGAAACTAAGGGGATCTGAATAAGCTATGGACACAGTTTAATAATAAAGCATCGATATGGTTCATTAACTGTAACGAGTGCACCCTACTGCCATAGTATTGTTAACAAGGGAAGCTGGGTGTGCCACTGTATGGGAGCTCTCTCTAGCATCTTCTTAATTTTTCTGTATTTCTCAAGCTGTTAAATATATAATATTTGTTAAATTAAGAGGATGGGGGAAAATGGAAATCGTGACATATAGAACCTATGAGATGCAGCTAAAGCAATGCTTGGAAAGACTTTTTAGCCTTTAAAAGATACAAAAGAGGGGAAGAAAGTTTCAAAAATCAGTGATCCAAACTTCCACCCTAAGAACACAGAAAGAAGGTCAAATCAACACCAAGACAGAAATAAGGGAAAAGAAAGAATGGAAGTGAATAAAATATCAAAAGAACACTTGATTTTAAAAATGATCACTGAAAAAAAAGCTGGCTTTTTATGAGGATAAATACAATTGGCAGACTTCCAGCTAGATGGAGAGAGAGAGAGAGAGAGAGATCTGTTCATATCTTTTTTACATTTTCTGTAATATTTTACCCTTTGTCTCAATTTTTAAGAGACATTTATATGTGAAGGATATCAGCTCTTTGAGTTATTTGTTTTGTATAATTTCTCCCAGCTTCAGTTGCCTTTTGCTTCTGAGTCTTTGGCATATAGTTTTTATATATTTTATGTTGTCTAATTTGTCAATCTTTTCTTTTATTGCATCTGAATTTTGAGCCATAGTTAGAAAGTTTTCCTCTACACCAAGTTCAGAGAGAATTTGACCATTTTTCCTCTAGTAGTTATAAGATTTCATTACATTTAGTTTCTTAATGAAAGTGGAGTATATTCTGAAGTATAAAATGAAATATGAATCTAATTTTATCTTTTCCCAAGTGGCTACTCATCTGTTCTAGCACTATTTATTAAGAACGCTATTTTTTTTTCTCCAGTGGTTCAAGAGACTGTCATTGTAAATGTGTAAATTTCCATATGTACCTGGGCCTAATTCTATACTTCCAACTGCTTATACACGGAAGAAATTGAAGGTTCAGTGACTGTTCAAGATTATATTCAGTCTACCATGGAGACTGAAAAAACTCCTCAAAGTCTCCTCGGCCTAGCCAAGAGAGTTGAGCAGGTTTTGGCTCGAATGCATGATGAAGACCTCATTCATGGTGATCTCACCACCTCGAACATACTCCTGAAACCCTCCACGGAACAGCTGAACATTGTGCTCATAGACTTTGGACTGAGTTTCATTTCAGCACTTCCAGAAGATAAGGGAGTTGACCTCTATGTGCTAGAGAAAGCCTTCCTCAGTACCCACCCCAATACTGAGACTGTGTTTGAAGCCTTTCTGAAGAGCTACACCACCTTCTCCAAAAAGTCCAGGCCAGTGTTAAAAAAATTAGACGACGTGAGACTAAGAGAAAGAAAGAGGTCCATGGTTGGGTAGAATAGTGTTTGACGCGTACAGGCATTTAGGCCATTTATGTCAAAGGGAATTTGAAGGAGTGCTCTGAATATGAGATTAGACCTAAATAAAGGTGTTGAGATATTAAAAAAAAAGTTTTGCAGACTTCTCATGAGTATATTTGCATGTTAGTTTTTCCTTTGAATCTTATCAAGCTGTCTAACATTACCACATGGCTTGTTGGTATTTTTATTGAGACGACATTGATTTTGGAAAGCAACCTAGAGAGAACACAAGTGATGTTGAGTCATCGTGTCCAAAAAGCAGAACTGATTTTCCATTTGGTCAAGTTGACTTTTGAAACTTTCTCAAATATTCTCCAATTTTCCCCCTGTGGGTTTCGGTCAGTTCTTGTTAGGTGTATTTCTAAGTATTAAATTTCCTACTGCTATTGCAAGTGTAATTTTCTCTGCTTAGTGCACGTGAAAACTATTGATGTTTGTGTTAAGTTTATATTCTATTACACCACAGAATTCTTTTGTTGAGGTTTTACAATAGACTGTATTGCCATCTGTAAATAGAGAAAGTCTTATTTTTTTACTCATTGTCATGCCTAATTGATTTATCTTGTATGATTGAATTGGCTCGTACATCTACTAAATGTTGAGCAGTAGCAGACATAGTTGGCATCCTTGCTTTGCTCCTAATCCTAAGGGAAATATCTCTAGTACTTATAGAATTTCTCCTATTAAATAACATGGTGGGAGGATGAAGGAGTGCACTTTTCATTATGAGCACCAGGTGATGTATGGAAGTGTTGGATCACTACATTGTACGCATGTGTGTTAACTATACTAGAAATAAAATAAAATAAAATAAAATAATAAAATAAGGTGAATTGGAGACCATATCTATCTATATTGATCTGTATAGATGGATGGTGTGTGCATATGGCATGCATATTCTTATTAAGAAAACATTTTATTTTCTTGAGTATTTTTTATCATGAGTGGATGTTGAATTTTGTCAAAGACTTTTCCACATCTGTAGAGATTGAGAAGAAATATGAGTTAAATTAATTTTTAACTAAAAACATTTCCAATCCTTTCATTGGGAAAGAATCACTAAAAATCACTAATACAATAAATAGCATTTCCTAATTTAACAAATGTCTATCCTTTTATCAGAAGTGAACTTCCAGAACTTGTGTACCAGTGAGCACTCTTTGGAGAGCAATGATTTTCTTGATCCCTATCTTCTCTCCTTTATTCTGTATAAGGATAAAGGTGGTCCTGCAGAGGTGAACACAGAGAGTAGATAGTGTTAGAATAGAAGCTGACACCTCAGACCCTTCTGTTCCTGGCAGGCTACCTCTCACAGCCCTTTTTCAGGGACTTTATTATGGGATCTTCTCCACAAAGCTCACATAGCAAGCCCAGCCAATTGGTATGCCTATCTTCAAAATCAAATGCCAGCTTGTCATTATGAAGATGCTGACTGTGAGTAAGGGCTCACATGAAAGAAAGACTTTTTGGCAATAAAAAATTCTGACACCTTGGCAAATTATTTTGCATATGTTTTCTTTATTTCTTGTGAATTACCAAGGCTCATAAAAATAAGAAATAGGAGAGCATGAATTGTTTGGCTTCTTTATTTTTCCTCTTTCCAGTGGTAAGGAAACAATAAGAAGGATAAAAATCCTATGGTCAAGAGTGTGGCTTTTTATGAATTTGAATTCTAAGAACAGACTCACTGCAACTGGAATTGGAAACAAGGAGAGACAGACAGAGAAGACGTGCATGTGAAACCAGTGGCTGCATCAATATGTCTGGGCTTCTAGCCCATGAGCTGGCTCACCTTCAAGTCCAATTTTGCATAGCCTTAAGTTCAACAGGTGTGTCAAAGCTACAAGTACCATGATTTGTTTGTTATTGGCAGGATTTGATTATATTGTCCTTTACTCTCCAAATCCGTATAGATATTTTTACTGCCAAAACTAAAAACCCAGGTTTCCTTATCACTTGGTAACATCTCCCACCTTTTATCAGTTGTCTTAGGGAATGCCACTAAAAAGTGCCAGACGGGTATAGTAATGACCAACCTCAGATGAAGGCAAAGCCACTCAAAATAGGACAGTTTGCTCTTTGCCCTGTTACTAAACCTGCATTTTTATGCACACAGAAATAAGTGAAACCCAACTTTGAGCTTCATCTATTTGCAAGAGCTCCTGGACTTGACCAATGACTATGAACCACCATGCACAAAGGGCATATTTTACAGAGATATAAAGACCTGTATTAATCTTGTTATGGCACATAAATTGCCATTTTCTATTGTGGGCTTTGTACCTTTTTTTATTGCAGTAAAATTCAGAGTTTTTTAAAGCATCTACTGCTGGTCTCTATGGTTTGCTCATCACTCCTTCTCTGCGTGGAGACTCTCCTGCCGTCATAGAACTTTTTGCAATTGACTCCAAAGGGTCCCCCGAAGCCTCAGACCTCAGGCTTCAGTATGAGTCTTCCAGTCAGTCCTGGCCTGATGATCTTTCAGATCCCTTCTTATCCTCAACCTTTAGGCTTAAATGCGTTTTCTCAGGAAAAGTCACCTGTAACTGTAAATGTCACCTGTAAATGTTGCATTACTAAAGCTTATTCATTTGGGTTATGCTGGTTTCTTTTCTTCCACTGAAATACATATTCAGTTCCCAATAATAGTGAGTTACGTGGACATATTGGCATAAGGGCAGGTCCCCCGGGTTCTACATACAGAGCACATTTGTTAATTGGGAAGTACTCTAAACAAACAAATATCACACACATCAGGAAAAAAATTAAAATTACTTTAGAAAGAAAGAGGAAAAGTCTGCTGATGTGGGAAGGGTTCAATTGCAAGCTGTAATTCCCAAGGGTTACAGAATGCTTTTCCCTATACAAAGCATCCAGAAAGGATTGCACCTTTGATCATTCCAGCCGCCTCCTTTTTCTCCCCTGTTCCTTCTTGCCATAGTCTTCTGGGGTAAAATCCACTCTTTTTTATAGCTGTACTGCCTGTGGTGGAAAAAGAAGAGGTGCTTCACTGGCCACAGAGCATCCCTTTGCTGACATGAAGTGCATGAGCTGTGAACTCACCCCCACGGAGTCTCCATTCGGCCTTCAACTGACTCCAGCAACCATTCCAAGGATCTTGGTGAATTTAAGAGACTATTCCCTAGTATTTCCTAAAATTTGTTACTTCTCAGCCAATGGACAAGCCTCCAGACTTCCTCTGAACAGTTTGTTTGCCTGCCCCTCGTAGGCTTGCGGTCATTATGGTGACCTTGACTTGCAAGTGACCATTCCCATGTAGCACTGTCAATATATCACAGAATCAGCTTCTGAGCAGAGTCCATTCTGAATCATTCCGTCCTTTGTATGGCACATCACATTGCATTGCAGTTTGGTTGCATTTCCTGGGCTCTTTGGTTCAACACGAGCACATGAATAATTTCCATCACACAGTGAATGTGCACTACAAAGGAGTCAGGTCTGCTCCCTCAGGATCAGACAACCTGAAGTAGTGTGACAGCCTGCACAGATGGTGTTGGCAGCTGTGGGAACCAGGTGCGGATTTGGACCTGCTTCAGGAAGTCGACCGTATTGTTAGGACCATGTACACATTCTCCAGAGAGGGGCACAGAAGAAAAAGGGAGCAGGCAGGAGTACCAGCTGTCCCTCTGGTCTCCCTGGCTTGGCACACTCCTGATGTGACCTTCACGTCACCTATATAAAAACCTGGCTCTGGCACCATCTCTCCTGGCCCTGAGAAGTCACTTGGCCATAGTGGGGACAGAGAAAGTTAAATACTCATCAGAAGCACAGGAAATAGTAAACAAATGCTCTCCTCTCTCCCCTGCCTCCCCCATTTCAATTAGGTATGTAAATATATTCAAATACTCTGCCTCATACGCCCTAGGGTGGTGCTGGGACTTTGCTGCCCTAGGCAAGATGGGGAAGAGCCACAAAGGCACCCACCCCCTCACAGCTTACAGACCCTCCCATTATAGACTCAAGGAAATATTGCACTGCCCTAGGCAACCACCTGCTCTTCCTGTAAAATCCGTCCCTGGCATGATTTGATTCATCTCTGCCCGGTGGATCTGTATCACACGTAGACAATCTACAATCTAAGGTCAGGCAGAAAAACAATTCAAATGTGTTCTAATATGAAAGGGAGCATCTACCCCCAGATGAGACTGCCTTGATGTTCTCGTTAAACCATAGATATTTAGTTCTGTGTCTAGCTGTCATATTTTCTCTGGGATTACAAATTCTAGAAAGCTGATTAGAAAGAAGGAAAGAAGGAAACTGGAATAAAGTTTTTCCCAGCAATGAATTTTAGCTCTTTCCCCCTCTTTCCTGGCCCCTTTACCAATGTTCTTACTGGTCGGGTGTTGGACCTGACCAATCGCTGTACAGGTTTTTAAAAACCCTTTAGAAAAAAGACACAAAGTGATTGCTGCCTAGGATGGTCTCGGTGTTAATGGACATGGTGTGCACACACATGATGCATACTCTGTGTGTGTGAAGTGGCCACAGATGTCAGTGGGAGCCAACTCAACATGCAAACGACGCCTTCACACAATTTGTATAAATATACGTCATAGATCAAGCCAGCAAACATTTAAATAAGATAGATTCTGTGTGCCTACTTTGACACACACATTGAGATAACATCCGGAATGGCCAGGTTGGCATTCAGAATTCTCAGACCCCTGTTTCAGAGCCAGAACCGGGAGAAGGAGGGAACAGCCCACAACCTCCTCACCACCCTGGGGTTTGCACCCATCCAGTTTCCACCCACAAACAGCCCCCTGTCAGTCACCCGGGGCTGTGGAACCCTTCAGGAAGATGGACGTGGGTGTGCTCACAGTCCTTGGAAATGAACTCAAGGCCTTTTCCTCAGAACGTCGCATCCCCTGGACTACAGTGTGCGGAATACCCAAGGAAGTGTGGCTCCAGGAGGCCATGTCCCCTTGGCCCATTAGGCATCTCATCCCTTTAGAA